CGTCCCACGCCTCGCACTATTGTCCCTGGCCCGCTGGGAAGGCGGCGAAGTGATCCCTGCCCGTCCTGCTCGTCCCGCTGCCGCCGCCTTAACGGCCTTATCCGCCAACCTGGAAAATCCGCACACCGCCAGAAATCCCTCTGCCTGCTCCCCAGCCTCGGAGAAATCAGAAGTCATTAATATTTGAGGAGGCAATAATTTTCCTGTTGAATCTAGAACTGTCTTCATGAATAATTCGTAGCGAGTTCTATTAGGGTTTCAGAAACATTGCGTTTTTGACAACTTCTGGGTGTTTAATAGAAACGGTGGAACCATAAAGGCCCCGCAGGAGTTCTCACAATACAGCAATTAATCACCGGGAAAGTTAAAGCGAAAAGTACAGACGCGCGGAATGATGTTTAATAAACGCAAACCTCCGAGCTCGGGTTTGCCCTGAACCTGCCGCTCCGATGTAGGTCAGTTTTCCCAAGAATTTAACCATTTTCTGCTTCAGAGACTTCAAACAGTGAGGCCGTTAAAGAGCAGTAAAAGTTTGTTTACTTAGGAAAAACACTGTCATTAAGGGATGAGCTCTCCCGGTTAATGGCTGTACCTGTGCTGATCCGGCAAGGGGCTGGCTCGGATACAAGTTATGTGGCTCGGGGATGCTCCTTTCTCCTCGAAAAAGGGGGCCGGGAAGGCAGCAGAGGAGCACAACTTTGCTATCGCCCCCCCCCGCACACAGACGAGCTATTCATAGAGCGATGGAAAAATAATTAGGTGACGAGTGACGGTCGCTGTAAAATCTCTGTGCTATGTTTAGAGGATAGCGATACGAAATTAGTGTACCTTCTGCATATTAGATCACGTCGAGTTATATCATAAAAATGCAACTCCTGGAAGGTCAAGCCCTGCTCCGAGCATGGGGGAAGGGGAGTTTTATGAACTGGAAGGCGAAAAAAATCGTTTGGCTGTAAGCAGATCTTACAATAGGATTATGTAGTTTCCCTCGCAGTGCATAAGGCTGTACAGGAGGGGGTGGGAGGTGGAAAACCCTACACTGGAACAGATTAAATTTTCCAAAAAGGGCTTATTTCTTATCTTCTTCTTCTTCAGAGAGGAAAAAAAAAAAAAAAAGGGGGCGGGAGGGAAACTAATTTTTTAGTGTGAAAACTTTCTACATGCAATTTCATTAATTATAAATGCTTCCCTGGCCAGAGGAGCTCAAAACATAGTTTTGCAAGATCGTCCATCGAGTTACTTTATTTTCTGTTAACTAGAACTAACAGATGTTTCTGACACATGTCCCAATTTCGCTTAACAGATCTGCAAATGACATTTCAAAATGTACAGGCCGAAACAATACCGGGTTTTCTTCTCTTTTTTTTTTTCCCCCTCCCGAGAATCAGAACTTGCAGCTCCCCATATTTGCGAATGCAGAGAGTCCTTGGAAGGCAATGCTCATTAAAAATGTCAGTGTTATTCAGATCAAACATTTGAAACTCCCTCTGCCCAAAACAAAACTGTTGAACGAAAAGGTCGCAGCTGTGTTATTCTCACAATGTTCGAGCAGCAGCATCTCAGCGACATCAGTCAAAACTGACTAGACAAGTTGTAACTTCTATTGTTCACTTTTAATTTGTGAGCTTGCACAATGATTTCATTTTTTTCCCCAACTACTTTAAACTGCCAAAAAAAAAAAAAATCCTCGCCCGTGTGAATAAGCAGAAATAGTAGCTATATCACTCGGTATTTACACAGCTCTACCGGCATAAACGTTACAGCAGCCTCTCCGCACAACCAGAAAAAAATATGGACGAGAATTGTGAGATTTGCTCTCGCTCTCCTTTTTTTTCCACCCTTTCCTTCCCCCTCCCTCCAAACGGTAAAGAAGCAAACAAATCTGAGAATTTATTTTCCAAAAGTACTTGGCGTGCATTCAATAACAACGCAAAGGATACATTAAAAACAAAATAAAGCAAAACAGTATGCTGAATAACAGAGAGAGAGTAAAGAGAGCTTTACATACTGACCTGTATGAGTTCTTTTGTGTATTTTGAGATTCTCTGATCTGGCAAACACTTTGCCACAGCCTGGGAAAGGGCAGGGGAAAGGTTTTTCACCTGTGTGGACTCTGATGTGATTTACAAGTTTATATTTGGCCTTGAAAGGTTTCCCTTCTCTCGGACACTCTTCCCAGAAACATATGTGATTGGACTGCTCGGGTCCTCCAACGTGCTCCACCGTGACATGAGTCACCAGCTCGTGCATCGTGCTGAAAGTTTTCGAGCATAATTTTTTGGGAGTCTGGTCCAACTCAATCCACTTACAGATGAGTTCCTGTTTGATGGGCTGCCTCATGTAACGAAAGAAGGCCCCCGGGCCGTGGTGTGGAGCCAGATTCACGTTCAGGTTCATGCCACCGTAGCTATGAAGCGAAGAAGCAGCAAAAGGATCTGTCCTGGAGGCTGGTACTTGAGTGAAATGTTCAGACCTGGCGTACATTTCTCCAGGTAACCCCAGTCTTATCTGTCCGTTTAGATGGCCACCTGGAGCTGCATGGGGAGGCTGCTCATGGAGTCCAGTGAACAGAGAGGGATTCCCAGCTTCTGAGTGGTGGTGGTGATGACCATGGTGTCCGGGGTAGCTACCTGTTGTTGAGACAAACAGTCCGTGGTGAGAACTTGCAGCGGGGAGCTGCTCGGTCAGCCCTGGCATGAGTGGGGTCGGCAGGTCTCTGCGTATGAAGAAGTCCCTACCTGCTGCCAGAGCCTGGGCTGGGTGAGAGACGGGGTAAGGGGCTGCTGGTGACTGCGCCGGGCCAAACGCTCCCGTTTGACTAGAGATCACCTCGGCTTGGCCTGCCAGATGATGATGATGATGATGATGATGATGGTGGTGGTGGTGGTGGAGCTGGTGGTGGGGATGAGGGGCAGGGCTGAGCTTAAGGGCCGCGGGGTGATGCTGAGGAGGATGAGGAGGAGGATGGTGGCGGTGCCCCATGTGTTCTGGCCGGAGCGGGTGCGGCCCGAGGCGGGACTCGGCGGCGTGCTCCCCCGGCTGCGTGGGCGCCGTGGCGTGGGGGTGCCCGGCGAAGCCCGGGAAGCCTGTCATGCTCTGAGGGGGGTGGTGGTGGTGGTGGCGAGGAGCCCCCGCCAAGTCTACTGATCTCAGCGCCGTGTTCCGCCTGGAGAGAGCAGCAGGGTCCATCACTGGGATCCCCGGCGCATCCACGCTCATTAGCTTCTAACGCTAAAAAGTCACCTGACAGCGGGAGGAGAGAGACACGGGGGGGGAACCCCAAACTTTTTTTTCCCCCCTTTCCCCCC